AAAGGGAAACACTAAAAAATCAGACATACCCTTTCCTTTCCTTTTGCTTTAAAAGTTTATTTTTAGCTTTTAGGTATTTGTTAGCATTCTTCAGCCCAAAAAGAAATTGAAGCAGCCTTCTGGGCTCTGTTGTCCTCCAGCAGAATCAACATCTCTCCTTCATCTATCTTCTTCTGCCTCCCAACCCTGTGCAATTTCTTCCCGCCCTCCTCTTTTATCCCTGACGATCTCGCGTCTATTCTCGGCCAGCTTCTCAGTAGGGACTGAGACACGATGTGCTCGGACAGCGTCCATGGACAGTTATCTCATTTAAGCTCACCCACGGCTCTATCCCCTTATAGCCACTGTCAGACTCTGCAGGTCAGCCCTGTGAAACATTCATGACAAAGCAAGCGGGACCAAAAGAGGCCAATGACATTAGCCTTTTGCTGGCCAGCTTCCCTGAAAACTGTACCTAGAACTGTCCGTGTGGCTGTAATTGTCAGGTCAGGCAGCTCCTTTCAAACAGACTCAGTTTGCAGTTCTATGTTAAAGTATTCACGCCCTTTTACATTACAGTCTGACTATAGATACTGCATCCTATTGGGATTTTATTTGATGAACCAACACAAAATGGAGCATTATGTGAAATGGGTGGAAAATGCTACCTTTTTTTCCCCACAATTCTTTCTGAAATAATGCTCAAAGAATGAACATCTGTGGGCTGCATTTTTATTCAGTTCTCTAAGTCAATACGTTGTAGACCAACTTTTCACTTGCATCTGCAATGTTTCTGGGTTTGCCTACCATCCTTGTTTTTGCAAAATAGTTCAAGCTTCATGAGATTAGATTGCAAGCGTCTGGATAGTAGTCATTAAGTCTTGTCACAGATTCTCAATTGGATTGTGATCTGGACTTTGGATAATTCTCTTCCTTCTTTAAACGAGCTTAATTTAGGCCTGGCCAACTTCCCATGATGTCACTGTCACCTTGTTTCGCCTGGAGTATCATGCTTAGTGTGATATGCACTTAGTTTTTCATCACACACGGAGCACTGTTTGGTCTTTAGTACAAATAAATGCTGTAAGACATAAAAAAGCTCTTGTAAGAACAAACAATACAGAGAAATAACTGGTTCTCTAACAAACCTCTTAGGCCTTTGTAAAACAATTGCTTTTATACCAAGATAAAAACGGTTGTTTTGTCATGCATGATTAGTTTTTTTCTTAAGTCAGTTCTTTGCATTCTTTTTTTTTTATCTAGGGGTAAATAGAGCTAAAAGCAAATGCATGGCACAATTTATTGTGCTTCTTTGTGTCCTATTAAATCAAAAATAATGTTTTGCTTGAAACTTAACAAAATGTGGAAAAGCTTACATTATGTTCTTTTCCAGTCAATGGCGTCCTCTTTAATTGAAGGCTGGTGGTTTGTATAAGAACTCTTATCAGTAACATTAACAGAAATTACTCTGGTTTGTTGACCTGAACCTGGTGTTTTATTTTTATTTAAGTACAAGGTCCAATGGCTGCACAATATGAAAACTCAGAGGCGAGAGTGATTATTGCCTGGAAAGGATGGCTAATATTGTAAATACAGACTTATTGATTCCTGTCCAGAAATTCAGCTTCCGTGAAAAGGAGAAATTGATGTCCTTTGTTTTATTTTTGTTCCTGGTCCATTACACACACGGCACAGTGACTGTAAGAGAGAATCCTTGGCAACCAAAACCTGTATTCAAAGTTAAACACCCGGAGTCTCGGGATGAGATCACAGCAGTGTTTTCTCAGATCAGTTCAGTTTTTTCTGTATATGCACAGTTAAAATTAAACCTCCTGCACTAATGTCTTTAATGTTTTATTTTATTTTGTGCTGTAGGTATAACATGGGGGAAAGTGGTTGCCATGTATGCGGTAGCTGGAGCCCTGGCAGTGGACTGCGTCAGACAGGGACATCCCACCACAGTGCACATCATAGTGGACAGTCTTGGACAGTTTGTCCGCAAATTTCTCGTTCCCTGGCTGAAGAGACGGGGAGGATGGGTGAGTCTGTGCTTGTTTTGTAATTTCTCTGAATTAAAAACAAGATTCAGAAGCAAGACTGCTGCTGAATATCTGGCCCTCAAACCTTAAAGGAAGCTGCTAAACTAAGAAATGTGGATCCAAATAAATTAAACAATCTTATACTACACATTTGATGCACTGTCGTGCCTTCTTGCTAAATTATTTACATAGGACCATCTGATATTTTAAGAAATAGTAAAACAATGAGTGACTTTTAAACACTTTAAAATCCAGAAAGTGATTAAATATTTAGTAGTTTTGAGAAAGTCTGAAGATGTTCGTGAATAAAGAAAAAAATATATGATACAACTGTACAGATCGTTTTTTCCATCGTTGGACAATCAAGGGTATTTCTATTTTATTCTATTCTAATTGCAGTTTCTTGGCGCATGTGAATTTTTGCCACAAAGGTGTTGCAAAGCTCACAAATGTTTGGTAACACTTTATTTGATAGGTTGTGAATAAAACTGTCATGACATTGTCATAAACATGACATTACACCTGTCATGAACATGAGTCTGAATATTTATGACTGTTGTCATAAAGTGTAATTCGGTAAATCATGACACTTTTAATGCAAAGTTGACATTATTCAAAATGTCTTTGTCATGACAACTCGACATTAACCAAGAAATCATAATCTGACATACATTTTTTTTGAAAAGTATTACTGAATAAACTTTAGCTTTAATATAAAGTTACATAATTTTCTAACCCATTTTTAAAGTTTAAGCTGTAATTTGGGTTTAAAATCTTAAATTAAAACAGCATTTAAGAAGTGAAGCACTTTGTAAATCTGCAAACTTCTGGCATCACTTTTTAAAATAAACTGTTTTCCTTTTCCATCAGGCAGAGATTATGAAATGCGTGGTGAAGATAGACTGCACTCCTGAGCGTCCCTGGCTGTCATCAGTCATCGACTCCCTGAAATATTTTCTTACTACTGTGTACGTCTACGTCATGAAGGAGCAGTGAGCTGCTCGGATGGAGCAGAGAACTGGTGAACATATAGGACTGAATCTCTGTCTTGTCGATAAAAGGTGAGATGGAAATGCTCACTGTGCCTGATGAGGTTTGAGCTTTCCCAGCTCTTCCCTCACTTTGTGTTGCTGAATGGTCACTGACAAATGTTTCATCAGCAGCGTGTCGTTTTGCACAAACCTGTGAGTGATTACCCTTCTACCAAAGAGTAGTCGCTTCATGTTTTAAGTGGAGAATTGAGGATAACTTTAATATTTAACAGCATAAATGTTATTTTTCACAACGTGCTCCACCTGTTGTATGCTATTTCCTCAGTTTATCAAATTGCAGTAAACACTCCTTCTCTGCCTTAATGCGAGGCTGTTTTTACTGCCGATGTCCTGTGAGAAATTTGCTCTTTTTAGAATATATATATTTCCAGAAGAGAGCTGAATGTGACTTCTGGGTTGATGCTAAGCTAGCTGGAACATTACATGAGAGGTTTCTGATGAGGACAAGATTTCAGCCTGCTTAGTCCATTTTCTCTGCGCAGCATTTGGCTGTATTGTTTACATTTCAGGAGATGAAACTGTTGTGCTTTTGCCAAAGCACAAACTGCGTCTCCCTTCAAATACAAATAAAAGTGACGATGTAAATATAATTTTTCAATTTAAACACAAAACCTTTTTTTTCCAGCCAAGCCCATTTTTTTTAACTTTCAGATGACTTTCACAAAGAACATATTTTTGCTGTACTGACTTCAGATTTTAACCTGTATATTTTATTTAAGGTTTTTATTTATATATTTGGTGATAACCAACAATTGATTCCACCGCAGCATAAAACCTACCACTACAACAAGCACTTCGAGATGAATGTGTGTATTGGGTTTAAAGTTCAGTGTTATTTTTGCAACTGTGTCTGCTTTGTTTTTTAAACCCACAATAAATTTCAACAGATGCTTACCAATACCAATATGGCACTTTATTTTGGTTCTCCAGGTGGTTTTAAAAATAGTTTTATTTTGTAAGAATCTGACAAAGCTTCAGAGTGGTGTGTAACCTCAGGAATTGAAAATTTCAAAGATTAATGTAGTATGAAAATATGAAAGGATTTCACAAATCCATGGTATAAAATGGGGTCATTCCAAATACAATACTTGATTCAAGTACAGTAAAGTTTACCAGCTTTTTAATATTTTTACACTTGGTCTGGTCTGACGAGGCCAAAGCTGTTGTTGCAGACATCTGGACTGAATTTAGTGATGAAGTTCCCATTAGAAATATTTAAACTGAGACAAATATTGGGATGTTCAAAAATATGTTCTCATCTGTATTAGTTGCATTCATTAAACTGTTTTGACTTTTCTTCACTAATGCTTTTCTCTTGAGGTCTTTGGAGCAGTTTTATTTGTAAAGTAGACAACATGTAGCATATGGTTTGAGACTATTTCAGTCCTTTTCTGGGAAATTTCAGATTTTGACTGTTGACTGACTGCTGCATATGATTTTAGTTATCAATCCTTTCTGGTGAATAATTCACTGGCTCTAGTCAGAACAATCCAGTCAGAACAATAAGCCAGAGTTCCCAGTGTAGGTGTATTACTGGCCACATTGACAGCAAGCTGTTGGTTACCATATTCTTTATCACGTATGACACAAAGGACCACATAGTCTGAAGTGTTCACAAAGTTTTTGCAAAAGGTTTTTTGCAAGACTGACTCTAGTTTCCTATTAAATATAGGAGTTGCCTGCAACCCTGTTTACAGTTTGAAAAGTCAATGTAGGTCTTAAGAAAAGTTACTTTTGGTGGGATAATTTATAAAATTGAAAAAGAAAGTTGGAAGCTCCAATCTCTGGTTTTTGATTTAAAATACCAATTTTTCTGTCCTAATCACCTTTGGTTACGGGCTTAAAACAAAGCCATGTGCTTTGAAAAATATGCATGTGTAAGACCTAATTTATCTTCCTAACTTAAGTTCAAGTTATCAAAACAAAAATGTTACTGTTCTAAGTTTAATCTTTATTATCCATTAGGACCATGTAGATTCAAAACAGGGACACATTTAAATGCATGCAATATTTAAAACAAAAAACTCCCTGAGAAAGAAAAGGTTTCTGAACCACACTCCTAAAATGTTGCTCTGACAGGTGTGGTATAAAAAGCAATGGCCGGGCCACAGCTGGTCAAGATGACGGGCTGTAAGTGATGTGCAAGTGCTGAGTGAGCGGCTGGCTGTCTGTTGCCATAGAAACAGTCTGTTCCAGCTTCCCGTCTGGTCGGAGTTGCAAGACTCTGCCAATCTGAAAGAAAAGAGAAAAGTAAAGCAATAATCGAAGCAACAGAAAGCAAGGTGTGTGCTATATGAGGAAAATCTGTATTCTGAAATATCAGCTTGTTTCTGGGTATAAATGACTGATCACTTTCACCTGTTGTACATGGGGCTCTTTGGCAAAAGAGATTCTACCCAGGCTTTGAGACTGCAGCTTGAGCTGATTTCCTGTCAGCTCCCCCTCTTCAATCTCCACCAGACCTACATAAAAACACAACATCCAGCCTTGAAACAAACCTTGCGAGTTCGAATATAGTGAAGGCATACCAATAGACGAGGATATCTCTGCAGACAGAACACATTTGTCCTGGGTTGAGAGATTCAATGACTTGAGAACAAATAAAAAGAAAACAAATGACAAAGCAGAGACTTAGTGTGTGTTTACATGTCTGCAACAGGCTCTAAATCAGAGCCAGTCATTGCTGACATAACTGCTGCAGAATTTGATTCTGCATTTCAATATAATGACATTTGTAATTTCAAGTTTAAGTTGAAATTATATATATATATATAAATATAAATGAGAAGGACGTAAAACAGCACTACACTCAAATATCAGAAAGTTGGTTGTGTTTAGTTGATGTCTACCTGAGTTCTGTGCAATAATGAAGGCCACTTTGTTTGTCCCCGGCTGGATTCGAATAAAACCACATTCTCTGTGGAGAGGCTTATTGGACTCCGCATGAAATGCTTTAAACCTAAACAAAACAGTCAGAAATTAGCTGGAAATATGATAGAGGACACAAAGAAATAACTTTAATTCTGCTGCTGAGACAAAGTCTAGCTCTGCAGGGTTAACATACGTAAAGTTGATGACTGGTTGCCCAACATGGGTGAAACATAGTTTCTCAGTGTATCGGAAAGGTTTTATGGTGGGGAAGGTTCCTTCTCCGGGTTCGTCGCTCTCCCAGGTACCCAGCAGCCAACTGAGAGGCTTCAGGACGGGATTCAGCTGCACTGCTACTGAAAATAAACACACACAGGTCAAGAGTCCACTCTCAATAAAACCCGGGTAAACACTCCCTGTGTGATGTGACTTTTAATTAAGCAAATATGTGTCCATGCTCTTTATAAAGCAGAAAAATATTTTGTTAGCTTTCAGTAAACACAGAGTTTAGATTCTTTACAGAAAAGGATGAGCTCTCTGTAAATATGTTCTACAAATTTTCCACTGCATAAAAGCATCCTTGTTATTTTAACAGAAAGTAGAAACATGCAAAGTGTAGTTACAAACATTTCTAAATGACAGCAGTTAAGATTGAACCCGTCCCCCTCCCCCCAAAAAAACAAGAAGTTTAATTTCAACATCGTAATGAAATCTGACATTAAAAAAATCGTTTTGGGTCAATTAAAATCCACTTCCTGCAGAATCTGTATACTGGTCTGAATCCAGAAGGTGGCAGCAGAGCACCGTATGACCTTGATGAAAAACACACGAGGAAGAAGAAGTAGCAGGAAGACAACTGAATCCAAATAAGACAACAAAAAAGTGCAATTAAATCTGACAAATAAAAACAAAGAAACTTTTCATCCTTCATAAAAACGATGAAAAGTCACGTGACATGCGCAGTTCACGGTATACATGACGGCGTCTGTTTGTTTATGTTAAACTCAAATGCATGCACAAAGGAAACCTAAACGAAATGCACGGCATATGGAAATGTAACAAGAAAAAAATTATTACAAATATTTTATAAAAATCGGGAATTTATTTAAGAAAAAGGCAATTTTTTTTTTTAAATCAGTCTCATTGACCAAGATGCCGCGTCACTGTGACAAAACATTTAGGCAGTAAAACAAAAATCCTTTAACATCGTTTCACTTACAGTTTAACCTTAATTTAAACATGACCTCCGGACTTACCGTTGTCATCAGTGGGAGACGCCATGGACAAAATTTGCTTCTGGACGGAGAGAGTGAATCCTAACCAAGGACAGAAATATAAAGAGAAAGTCGCAAAGAGGTAGGACCTGTTTAGACGCAGTTAACGAGCACCGCAACGACTCCTGGGAAGTGTAGTTTGCCGGAGGTGACAAGGTGCACGAGATGACGAACTAAATGAGCACAATTGTTAATAATTAGTTTGATTAGAATAAATCAAACCAGTTGAATATGATTCAAATGTCAAATCTCCAAACTTTTCACTCAAGTGGGTGAACTAACCTGAAGTTCCTTGGTTTGAATCCCAACTGAGGGTCTTAATTTTGCATAGTTTGTACACAGGTGTGTCTTAAGGTTCTCCAAAAACATGACTTTCTTTGGTTACTCTAAATTTCCCTTATGTACGAATGTATGGGTTCACAGTTGAGTTACCCTGTAATGAACTGCTGGCCTGTCCAGGGCAGACCCTTCACTCTCACCCACCAACTACTGGATATAAGCACCAGCTGACTCTGTTCCTGCAAGGATGAGCAGGTATGAAAATATGATATTTGGAACAGTTTGCTTGAGAATTTTTTTTTTTTTTAAATATCAGAAAATTTCAGCTTTTCTGTTTAATGACACTGGAGCATTCAAGTATTACAGAAAGCAGACTTTATTAACATCATCAGTGCACTCAGCATGGCAGCTTCTGCAACTTTATTTTAATAATAGCAAACATAAACAAGAGCTATGGTGAAAAATCCTTAAAGTAGATAGTACTACAAGATTTCTGCACTTTATTCAATGTTCCAACCATGTTGGATAGATCTTGTGAATGTGTGCAGAGTCAATGCTGTGAGAATATGAGTTCTTAAGCCTTGCTCTTTTTGCAGTTCTTCAGAGCATCTGCCAGGGCATGCAATGCCTTGTCAGCGTTGGTCTTCTCGCAGTTGTATCCCATCAAGCCGATTCTTATCACCTAATTAAAACAGAAAGTGAATTAATGCCTGCAGTGACTCAGTAGGATTAAAAAAACACAAAAAACCTGACACAAGTCTTTCAACGCTGCTTCTGATGTAAATATTTAGACGGAATCTACTTTTTAAATGTACATGTTAACGTGTGTTATTTTGTATCTAGATAGAAACAGATCGAGATTATATTAAGAAAGTCTGTTCCTGTATGCAATGTCAAATGTTTAATTTAAACATGATTAGGATATTAAAAAGAAAAGGCATTACATTTTTATCATATTTTTTTTTTTTTAATTATCACCTACAATGTGGTCTAAAGGTTATGTCTCTTCGATTCCCTGTTGTGGCCCTAATGATGAGACCTTTGCATATTCACACTTTAAAATGAAACCAACCATGCCAATGGATGGACCCAGTCCCCCTGTCATCTCCATCTGGTGATTCTTCATAATGTAGGTGAGCATCTCTCTCCAGTCATAGCCTTCGGGGATGGATATGGTGGTAACAGAAGGAAGCCTCAACTCCTGCAAGAAGCACATCATGCCAAGAAAATAGTTTTTGCATACTTTTTGATCAACTGATTTTAGTGTATTTGTCCCATTTTTTCACTTGCTTCCTTCAAATGTACATTCTACAGTTACTAATCAAGCAAAACAAACAAACAAACAAAAAAAAAAAAAAACAAACAATATATGTTTTTGATCTTTTCAACTGTCTTACTTTGTCAGGGATGAAAAGCTTGAGGCCTAGGTCTTCTAGTCCTTTGTAGAAGTAGGCTGCAACCTCTTTGTGTTTCCTCCAGGACTCTTCCAGCCCCTAGAGGGAGACAAAGATTGGTCATTTTGTAGTCTTGCAAAAAAATTAAAGGACAAATCTCACATTGTAGATTAATTTTAACTTCCATTCAGAAAAAACAGCAATTTGAGACCAATCAGTAGGCACTCCAGGGCTATTGATGATTGTTATACTGGGCTTTATTTATTAAGATCACAATTAGCAGATGCCAAATATATATATAATGAAAAGAGACTTTGAACTATGTACAGTTTAACATCAAAAGAGAAATCTTAAAGTATTAAATTCAGTTGATATGGTAAGGTGGAAAAATAGTGAAATATCTCTTTACCCTTTCAGCAAGTATTGCCAGACTCTCTCTCAGCGCAAAAAAGCCAGAAACAGGACCAGTGTGGTGATATCTAAAACCCAGAGCAAACTATTATCACTAATCTGTTATTTTTGTCTTTGTTTTAATCAGACTTTATACAGTTTAAACATAAGGTGGCACTTAAGAATAACTCCATAAAAAAATTAGTATCTTTGGTTTGGTAACTGTTTACAAGGCATAATGCAAATCAGAAAACGCATTTAGTTTCATTTGTGCAAATCACCAAAATGAGAAATTTTAGCATCTCATTCATCAAATTGACAGAACAAAGAAACAGTTTGTTCTGTCAATTTTGAATTTCCTTTATCACTAAATGAAAAGCAACACATATTTATAACTTAGGCTTATAAAGTTATAAATGTCTTTATAACTTTCAGTGGTATGTTTATCTTTCAACTGAAAGTCAAACAATACAACACAAGAAATGTGTCGTATAATTCTAATCATAAGCTTTAAAAACTGAACTCAGCCTATTTATTAGTATACTGTGAATTACTTTATTGACACAAATAATTAAAAATAATTACTCACCCTCTTGTTGGACTGCCATCACAACCCCAGTAGTTGGACAAATGTGTCATGTCAAAAAGATATGATACTGGCTTTGTTTTTCTGTTAAACATCTTGTTGCTGTGATGAGGAACAAAAAACATTATGTGGCTTTAATAATTTGCCTTATCTTTTGTTTTTTATTTTTATTTTTTATTTTTGCTAGACATTCAGTGATGCACGACAGTGTTCAGTCTTACCATGCTCTATCATTAAAAGAGATGGGTGCAGTGCCAGGAGGTGCATTAAGAGCCTTCTGAGAACCAGTGTACAGGATGTCAATTTCTTTGAACACAATAAGAAATATAAAAATCAGATAGAGGCCAAATGCTGAGCAGAAGTGAATTGTGATTTTATTTGTTGACCTACTTTGTTTGTCCATAAAAATTGGAGCTGCTCCAAGTGAGGCTACAGTATCAACTAGGAAGAGGCAGTTGTGTCTGCACAACATAAAACATGGAGCTGTGAGAAATATGTCTCAATGTGAACACATTTCAGTTTAAGGATGAGCTGGATAAAAACCTACTTTCTACAAATGTCTCCAATGCCATCCACAGGGTGACAGAGGCCAGCAGAGGATTCTCCATGTGCAAGAAAAAGCAAGACCGGCTTGTGTTTTTCTATGGCCTAAAACACAAAAAAAGAGTTTTAACCACCCAACTCTTTTTATTCTGTTATTCTTACTCTTCAATAAACCAAAGTCTGCTGGAAGAAAACAATTCAGATGTTCAGTAGTAGGCAGAGTTGTAAGAAATAGTCCAAACCTGCTCGATTTCCTTATTGGTATAATATCCTCCTGGTGCCTTTAACAGTCTGTGTACATTGGCACCTAAGAACACAACAAACAAACAAACAGAAAAGAATGAAGCAGTACAACAGTTATCTCAGAATATAAATAAATATTATATATATACTCCAATTGAGTTTCAGTTTCAGTGTTGATAGGGGGGTTATGGTCAGTGAAGTGTGTGCGTAAAGCAATGTATATAACATACCCATTCTTTCCGCAATTTCAGCGACGCGCTCTCCCCAAATCCCGTTGACGGTGATGAGGACGCTCTCCCCTGGCTCCACAACGTTGAACACGGCGCACTCCATAGCTGCGTGTCCGGAGCCGCTCATTGCTATGGTCATGTTGTTCTCTGTCTGAAAGGCGTACTGGATGCCCTTTTTGATATCGTTCATGATCTGTGACACGAATTTAAAGTGTGAAACAGGCTTTTAGTTCGACTTGTCCGTTCTAGTTGAAAATAGAAGGCTATTGCACTCATCTGCGGCGGCAGTGAGTGAGTGAGCGCTTAGGGGACTGTGCGTAATTACGCACCACTCTGTTTAGAAAAAAGGTGATGTGTCTAAGGTTTGCTCATATGAAAAGAAAACGCTAGCAACTTGGTGGCGATCATCAAAGCTAGGACGCATTTTCTCGCAACAAACCAAATCTGAGATAACTGAATCTACTGATTTTCAGAACAGTTACCTCATACATTTCTGGATGCAGGTGACCAATTATCGGCTTGCTTCCTGCTGCTAAGACACGAGGAGGAACGTTCGAGGGTCCCGGACCGAACAGGTAACGCAGAGGCACTTCGAGCGGTCGCAGCATGCATTCGGGCGGCGGGATCGAGACGGAGGACATGGAGCGCTCCAGACGCTGCAGCAGCGGGGCGCTCCTAGCAGCGAGTCGACCGTCGAGAGCCGCTGCCGCCAGCTGAGCGAGCGACGCGCTCCGGCCGAACAAAACCCGCTGCATGACGGCCGGAATTCTTAAGAAGCCTCCAGAGGTGGAGGGCAGCTATGAGAAATACAGAGACTGAGTCTGGAAGCGAGTTTGGGTGAACATTTAAAAGATGCAGGTCCTTGACCTGGTGGGTAAGGGCGTGCGTGCGTCATTTTACGCAACAAAGTGTACGACAGCAAACTGTTATAGTAAGAGAACAGGATGCTCCATGAACCCGTCCGTTTATGTAGTAAGAGTTTTGGTAAGTCAGGTAAATAACATTATTTGAGCTTTTTTTTTTTTCTTTTTTTTTTTTTTTTACTTAGCAAACGTATCCACACCCCTTGAACTTTTACACAGTTTTTCAGGTGACAACCAATACAGAATCTTTTCATGAAATCTTATATGAAAGCATACAAGAAAGTAGCTTGTTCTTGTGAAATGGAAGTAGAAAACACGGTTTCCTAAATATTTTAACTAAAAAGTATCTAAAAGGTGGGTTGTAATCAATACTTTAAAAATGTTTTTGGAGCATTTACAGCTTAAAGTCTCCAACAATATATATCTACTTTGCTAACCACCTGAGTTATATTTATGCACATTCTTCTTTATAAGATAACCCGGGGTCAAGTCACAGCCAAGGTCCTCACTTGGATGTGAGGACCCACTTGAATGCAGAATGTGTGTTGATCTATATTACTCCATTGTGTTCTTGTGGAAAGGGTGCAGTGTTAGAGTTTTGACACATATGCACATTTGCATCTACTCCA